ATTCTGGGAGTTGAAGTCCACACATCTTCAAGTGGCCAAGGTTGAGAAACACTGGCAGAAATGTTTACTATGAGTTTGGAAAGGAGCAGTGCAAAACTATTGCAGAGACTGCCTAAACAGTAGCAGACTGCAATATGGTGGTGTAGCTTCCCTTGTTACCCTTAATATAATCCTCATCACTGCCCTAATGCCATTTGCACAGGAGAAAATGTCTGCCATGACATTGCTGGGGGCATAGTTCAGTGGAAAAAGCAGTCGCAGGAGATTTCTACTGATATTTGTTTCTCTGCAGCAAGAGATAAATCGGAACGGGCTTTTGGGGTGGCCTTTCTGAAGCTGATGAATGTAGATGGTACCACGCTGCAAGATGGGAGGCATAATTTAATAGTCTACAAGGTATGGCTTTATTTATCTTTATTTATTTATTGACTTTAGAAGGCCTTGACTCTTTGATCTCTTTCCAACTTCTTTCCTACACGTTCCTGCCTTAGAAGAAACAGTTGATGCTGGACTGTTTACGGTTCATACTTAAACTGTTTTTTTTGGTGTCTCTGGCTTTTTCCCTTGTTTCTTGTGGACAGGGTGAGAACAAAAAAATGGAAGATGCTAAGTTTTATTTGACGCTTCCCAGCACCAAGATGGAGGTGGACGACAGAGATGGAGTTGCATTGAAGCAACACATGGCCAATTTTACTTTGAATAAGGATAGCACCAAGGACAGCTTTCAGATTGCAACACTCATCTGCTCAACAAAACTGACCCAGAATGGTAGGTTAAGCTGTGGGCAAATTGGAAAAGTGGCAGGGAAATTGCGATTGGACATCCCGAATTGTCCCATGAAACCACTAGTAGACAAGGTTAGGAGTAACCACTGCTGGCTCTAATTATCCATGTTTCTGCCCGCACCTCTTTCAAAGCTGATGACCATCACTGCATCTTGCAGCAGCTAATTTCATTTTTAATGTTGCGCTGTGCAAAGATCTACTTTTTGCTAGTCTGGAATATTATATCCTTTAGAACTATTGAATAATCCCTGTTTAAATTATGGACAGGAAGGGAGAAAAATTTCATCCCCATTTTTGGCAGAAATTGTATATATCTTACTCACCATCTTTCTTCCAAAGGTGGGCAATTCACAGGTTGGGGGCTATATGCAACAGTCCCAGCCTGGACCATGTTTCCAAAACCTTGATTTTCCAGCATGTTACAAAGTACCAGATATTCCAAGGAGACTCTCCTTGGGCACTTTTTACTTCTTTCTTATTCAGAGAAAGGAAGAAATCCTATGCAGTTGGTAGGATACTGAGCCATGTCTATCCATCTGAGTATAGAAAGTCTGTGTCACTCTCTGTCTTCTGAGACTTGACTTAATCCTCCCTGGTTACCCTCATGCCTATCTTCTTGGTCTTCAAAACCTAGAAACCTGCTTGTTCTAAAATAACTCAAAGTTGTGATTTTCAGAAAAATGATTTCTGGTTTCCAGCACTAAACTGCACATCTCAAAGCATTCTCTTTTCCAAAAATGCTGTTCAGTACCAGAAAATTAGTATATTGTGGGTACTTCTTATTAAATAAGACCATTGCAGGAACTCGGATATCTATTGCTCATTGTGGTCTGACTTTTACTGATTTGCCCTTGCCAGTTGACCTGCTAGGGTTGTTGAATTGGCGTTCAAACTCTCAGAACATAGGACACAACCTGAAGAAGCTGATGGATGTGGAAGGAGGAGAAATTGTTAAGGTACAAAGGGGCCCCACGTGGGCAGACTTTGGGGATGGGCAAGTCTTTGAGGGCCAGGGCCCCAACTAACATATTTTGGGAGGACGGGATGAAACAAAGTATTACTGTCTTGGTTTGGAGGAAGAATGTAGGATTTTTCATTGCCAAGCCTATCTTCATTCCACAACAGTTTATCTGTGTTCCCCATATCAAAATGCCACCTTTTTTTTTTAGCACTGATGTGATATTTCCCTAGTAATAATCAGGACTGGAGAAAAGCAGCCAAGGAACGCTTCTCTCTGAGCTGAGATTATTAAAATTGATTAGGAAAAGGGTTGAAGAGGTAATGCAAGGATTCCAGCAGGTAACTTTGTTTCCAAATGTGATGATTAGGTGTATAGGTGATTCAAAACCACTCCAACATTTTCAGTGTAAACGGGGAGAAGGCCAATCTCTTTTAAGAAGATAGACCTGTCTGCTTCTGGTTTTGTTTACATATCAGTTAATAACCAGGAGGGGGTATGAAAAGGGGATACAGGTACCACATGGCCCTGGGGCTGTATATTGCCCATCCCTCTTTTAAAAGGGCTGACAACAGAGAGCATCAGTCATGATTTTAAAGCACAGGTAGTCCCTGTGTTAAGAATGCCCGGTTTAAGGATGACCCATAGTTAAGAACAGAGCCTATTGTAGTAAAATTCGAGTTAAGTACACTGATTCAAGTTAAATACACAATGATTCAAGTTAAATATACAATGGTTCGAGTTAGTTACACAATACTACTTATACAATATTATACAATAATGCTGTTCTGGTTCACATACAAATTCGACTTAAGGACAGACCTTGGGAATGGAACTCGTTGTAAACTGGGGACTACCTGTAAATGCAAATGCAGGTTTGGATTGCATGAGTAGAATTATTGTTTCCAAATCACAGAAAGGAATAGTTTCATTGTATTCTGGATTAGCCCCAGAAATAAAGTAAATAAAAAGGCCGAAACTCCATGGTTACAGAGAAGAAGATATGGAAGGTAGATTTAAATTAGAGGAAGACAGATTCCGTTTGAAAGCCTAACTTGAAAGCAGGTTGATAGTGGAACCAGTAACTATGGGCGATACTGTATGTGTTTAGATGTGTTCAGGCAGAGGCTGGACAACCATCTGTCATGGATGCCTGAAATTGGATTCCTGTCCAGAACCACAGCTTGGACTCCGTGATCTTAATGGCTCCTTCCAGCCTTGTGATTCTGAATTAAGGGAGGTGGTCTCCCAACTGATTTCCCTACCATTGCATTGGGAATAGCATCATCATAATGCCTGATAACCCTGGCAAAGATTTCTCTATGTGGTGGGCTGGAAAGTACAACCTGAGCCCATTAGAATACAGGTAGTCCTTGGTTAACAATGGCCATTTCCACTGCTAAGCAATGCAATGGTCAAGTGTGACATCACATGACCACACCACTTAGCAACGGCAGTCCAGCACTTCCGGTTGCTGTCATTAAGCAAATTCTGCGATGTCATTGAGCGTGACATCACGTGGTCACCATTTGTGATCTCCTGCCAGTTTCCCCACTGACTTTGCTTGTCAGAAGCTGGCTGGGAAAGGTCACAAATGGTGATCACATGACCGTGGGATGCTGCGATGTGGTAATTGCAAGCCAGTCACAGAGCACCCAGATCATGATCCTGTGACTGTGGGGATGCTATGACAGCCGGAACTTCAAGGACTGGTCGTAAGTATCACTTGTTCAGTGCCAACATAAGTTCGAACAGTTGCTGAACAAGTAGTTATTAAGTGAGGACCGTCTATATGCAAATAGTCCTGCTGGGTCAGGTTACAGCCCATCTAGCCAGCATTCTGTGGGCTTCCTAGATGCATCTAGAAAACCCACAAATAGGAGATCAAGGCAGCCTTCTTCTCCCAGTGTGGCTCCTTTGCACCTACAGTGTGTAGAGTGCAGCAGCCAGTCATTAACACTAATAGCCACTGATAGACTATTTTCTATCTGTTTTCTAGGAGTTTGTCTGGTACCCTCTTGAAGCTATCTAAACTACCAGCCAAACTCTTACACCTTGTGGGAGCATCTTCCACAGGTTGATTACTTCTACATGAAGAAATATTTCATCTTAATCTAGTACAGTGAAAAACAAATGCCAAGGGAATTGTCTGCCCTTTGGGGGCATGTTTTGTAGGACCAGAATGGGGAACCACTGGGTCCTTTTATACTTGGCATAGGCTACTAGCTGTAGCTGTGCAGGTTATGACTCTGTTAGGCCATTGCCTTTGTCACGGCAGTAAGCTTGCATTGTTGTTCTCCCCCAGCCCAAAAGGCTGTATTCCAGCAGCGAAAGTGTTGCTCTCTGATTTTTAGTATTTGAGGAACAGCTGTTGGGTTATGGGGATTTCAAAAACCATGTCATAAAAACCGTAAAATTCTGTTTTATCTTCAGCTCCTTTATTATTCCTTTTCCTAGTTTCTACAAGATACACTTGATGCACTTTTCAGTATAATGATGGAGATGTCCGACAACGAATCCTACGATTTTCTTGTGTTTGATGCATTGGTAGGCTCACTTTCTATCTTCATGCCCCTCATCCTGTCTTTATTAACACTGTCACCAGTAGCAGTCCAATGTAAATCCAGATCATCCCCCAAATTAAGTGTATAGTTTGATCCTGTTTAACAAGTGTTCTATGTTTATTGATTTCTTTCATTGATAGATACTCAAGGCCACTTTACATCAGGTCTTCTTCTTATTTTAGGCCACTAAAACAACCCTGTGACAGAGATTGAGCTGACAGAGAAAGTGATTAGGCCAAAATCACCCAGTGAGGATCATGGGGCTTGAATCTGGAGCTCCTTTGTTCAAATCCAATATCCTAACCACTTCAATACCATGTCTATTTATTTAATCCAAACTCTGAATTTTGATGCCTCCTCAGATGAACATTTAAGAGACTTTAGTATTATGGACATTTGGGGAATTATCACCTACTGGTAATTTGGAGATGGATTTCTGAAGGACATCAGTGACAGATTAGAAACTTATAGTTTATTGAGCTACAGCGTAGAGCTAATCAGTTCCAACCGTGAACTCAAACTGGGTGACTTTGGTTCAGTAGGACATGTTCTCTCTTTCAGCCCAACCTATCTCATTGGGTTGTGAGAATCAAATGAAGTAAGATTCCCATGTAAGCTGCCTTGAGCTCCTGGAGAAAAGGTGGGATATAAAATCTAGATGATGATGATAATGATGGTGATGATGCACAATCATGAAAGTGTAATAAAATCAATGTTCTCTTTTGGAAAGTGGGTATATTAAGCTCTCAAAGATTATTATTGGAAAGAGGGGATTGTTTGCCACTTCTGCAGTGCTCCCATTTGGTACTGTGCAACCACACACACATTGCTCTGCCTGTACTCCCCCAAAGCTTAGGCATGAGAACTATATGCCTGTTGCAACAGGATAAGGCAGCTTTCCCTCTGTACACTGGATTTCTGAGTGTTACTGTTGCTCAGGGCACCAATACGGAATTACAAGCATCCCTAGAGAATCCTGAATCCAGATTTTTCAAGCAGTTTAGAAAGGATGAAGTCCTTTTTCTTGGCCATGAGAGGAATGAAACTGAAATCAAATGTACCATACAGGTTTTGATGGATTAAATCATTTATGGATTCCATTTTTTTTATTAGGTATTTATTATTTCCCTGATTGGAGATATCAAGTTTCAGCATTTTAATCCCGTACTGGAAACCTACATTTATAAACACTTCAGCGCCACCTTGGCCTATATGTAAGTATAGTATTTCATGAATGGCTATATTTTTCACCCCCACAAGATTCATTCAGTGCTTACCATTCTTCCAAACTCTTGATAAATAAGGTACAATGTCATTGCATGTGAAGGTTCTGTTACAATTGCAATCACACAGAATGGGAAGTAATCTTGCTTATTGTGAGCAAACCATTTTTGTTCAGATAACCTATTCACTTTTTTTCATGCTCCCTGGTTTGGATAACTCCTGGTGTTGTTGCTCTTTCTACAAGCCAAGATTTGTAAGCCAAGAACTATTTTTTGAGTTCCTTGCTTGGAACAACCCAGGATCTTTGTTCCAGATGACATACTAAAAACAAAAATGATTCTGGTTTATTTAGTTGCTCATGTATAAGAGAAAAAAATAATCTGTCTGGACTAGCATAGCTATGGTCAACTGTAAACCAAGGTTCATCAGAAATATGCTCTCAAATAAAGGACACCAACAACCTTTCAAATAATATTCTATAAAATTGGAGATGAGCCATGTGAAACCCAGCAAAGGATCTTCCCTGTAAGTTGTAAATCAAAAGATGCATTCTGCTATTATGATTTAGACCTGCTGCTGTACTATGTAATAATCTAATCTAATCTAATCTAATCTAATCTAATCTAATCTAATCTAATCTAATCTATTGTTCAGTAGAGGCATTATGGTTTGTAAACTGTGCTTCATGGCTTAAACTTACAACTTTTTTTTGTTGTTGAAAGAACATGATTAAAGCACATCATGATTTAACATAGTCTTTGAAGGCAACTGCTGATTCCTTACTTGGTATAGCCATGCCCAGTCCCTCTTAAGCATACATTTACACATCCACATACAAGTTTTTATGTGGTAGCTAGAAGGCAAAGGAGAAGGCTTGACATTTCCTTTACAGAACCCCTGATGTCACTGTCACTTGTATGTTTTATTTCTGGATTTTTCTAGATACTACTTTCAGGCAAAAGCGATTAGCCATCACTTCTAATTTTAGACCAAACCCAGACCTGGCACCTTCCAACAGCAATCACAATTGACCAAAACTAGAGTTTTCTGTAGACCGATATACTAATCAAGAAAAAAAAAAATGTGTGTCCTCCTATAAAAACTAACTTATACTGTCAATTAGGAGAGGAGTTAATTAAATCAGAACACTGTGTATTGTACAAGTGATAGCATCATAAGATGTGCCAGACATTCTCAGTAGCTTTGTCTGCACAAGGACATAGGCGTGCCTGATATGGAAATGTTACTATATGTCCCTTCTGTCATTGTTGTAGGTAAAACATTAAACCTTGCTAATGTAAACACTTACATGTGGAGAAGAGAAAATACGTTGGAGAGAGAATTGTCCCCAAGGCCAATTAGTAGTGAGAAGCTTTGATCTTTCATTCTGCAGATTGAAATCAAGGACTTGGATTAATCTCTAAGATAGCTTTCTTCAACCCAAGCATGATCAGGGTTAGGGCTGGGCTGAGAGACCATAATAAGTGTAGTCTAAGTTTGGAAGTGGTGGCTGATTACTTTTGCCTGAAAGATTTTGGCATTGTATATCTATGACACTTACTTTCTTTTTATTGTATTAATTCCTTGCCCTGTTTTAATGAATTGTATTCCATCTATGATTACTTTTGGTTTTGGGTGGTTTTGTTTTGTTATGTGCTTGGAAAATAAATAATTTATTGTTACTGTTATTGATGCTAGTGGATGCTTTGCTGTTTTTCCTTGCTCACGAAGCCAATATTTTGTTTCTGATTCTCAGAAAATTGATTACTCCCGTCTGACTTCAACTTAAAAATCAAGCTTCTCTCCTGCCGTTGATTAGAGGTTTCATGTACTTCAACCGTTTACCAGTTTTGTGACATTGTTTTGTGACATTTCTATAATGCCACTTTTCTGCACACACTGCCAGCAAATTATTTCAAATAACGTTCTGATCAGAGACCTACACACTTTGCTGTGAATATTTAAGACAAACCTTTCAGGATTCAAGACAGTGATTCATTAGCTCATTGGGTGTTGCAGACAGCATCCGGTAATGGATGTGAATTTAAAATCACCAACAACGGGAAAGATTTCTTATCCATTCTCATCACTAGCAGAGCCAGTTTCTAAAACTAACAACAGTCCTTTTGGACACTGTAGGAGAAAAACCATTGTAGGAGGAAAGGAAACTCAGAAGGAGACTGAAAGCATCTTTTCTAACTAATAAATTTTAATAAAAGGTATAAGCTTTCATGAGCTGCAATTTACTTCATCAGATGCATAGAGTGGCTAGACTGATGTACTGTAGGGTTTAGTTGGAAAAGGTGCTACCAAACTCCTTGTTTTTAACTGTCCTTTTGCTTAGATTAAGCTGACCCATATTGTCTAGTCCAAGATAGCCTAGTCAATTTCATGGCTAGGAAGGTTTATGTTGGTACCTAATGTAGCTTCTTCATATGGAGATGTTTAATCAAGGTGCAGGCTTACACACACGTGATCCAGAAATGTTGCTGAAGCTAAGTGGAGCTGGTTTGAGACACTATTTGGATGGGAGGACTCTTCAGGCACCCTATATATGCCACTTTTGATTCCATGGAAGGGCTATGGACCTGATCTAATTTTAATTGTGGTGTGGTGGCTACAGTGTTGGATTGTAACTGGGGAGATCCAAATACAAGTCCATCCTCCCACATGGAACTTCACTAAGTGTCTTTGGATCAATCACTGTATCTCAACCTATCTCACAGGCTTGTTCCTGTGATGAAAAATACTCAAGGAGAGAGAGATTGTTACCCAAGAAATAAATAATATTTTCAGATTTTAAATTTCTCTGATCCTTGTATCCCCCACTTTGAACACCCTTTTGGATAGAAAGGCAAGAGAATAAATCCAATAAATAAAGAACTGGTGTGAGTACAAGCATTACTTTGCAACACATTTCCCGGCAACCTGTGTGAAGACTTGCACCCAGTGAACAGTTTCTAAGGAACTCCCAATAACGCTTGGTTCTCCTTCTACCAAATAAATATTTGTTGATGTTCTAGCTTGACTTCCACATGATGACTTGCTTGCCTGGTGAGAAGGTTGCAAATAATCATGTGCCATCTACTTAGTCTTATAGATAGTATGGATCCAGTGTAGCACCAATGAGGTGAGGAAAAGTAGCCAAGTTTTGACATCAAATTTACGTTTTTTCTGTGTCTCTTTCACACATTAGAAAACTCACCAAGGTTCTGAATTTCTATGTTGGAAACGCAGATGATTCCAGTAAGACAGAATTGCTTTTTGCTGCTCTGAAAGCTTTGAAGTACCTCTTCAGGTTCATAGTACAATCGAGAGTTCTTTACCTAGGGTAAGTGAGAAAACAACAACCTAGTAGGCTCCTTTCAAATGTTCCCTTCCAGCCACCATAATTAATTTGGATGCTCTGACTATATTAAGCAAATGGAAAATTTTGGCTGGGGAATTCTGGGAGGAAGTCCACACATCTTCAAGTTGTCAGGGTTGAGAAACACTGGTTTAATATATTGTCATTGAATTGTTACAGCTGCGGAGATTGAAGAGGTACTTTAGGGATATTTTATGTCCCTGGATGTATTGGATTAAAATTCCCATCACTTTCCACCTCAAGACTCTGGCAACTAAAATAAATGAGCAGGGTAGAAATAAATAGCTGTGACCTGCAAGTGGATCTTCTTACTCTTTAATTGTCTCAACCCAGGGAAATGTTAGAAATCCATGTAAAGGGATTCAATACTCTGTCTCTGTATCAGCAGCATTTCCCAGAATAGGATCCAATCAGGTATGGAAGGAGAAGTCAGGAAAAGAAGAATCATGATCAAAATTGGACCAGATTAGCCTGGAGTCTACAAAGGGGGACAACCCCGATTCCCTTAGTGCATCTCTAAAGGGGGAGGCAGTTAAACTGTAGGTTGAGATGTAAGTGACTACCCCATTCTAAATCCCATTCTCTCATGTGACCCACAGTTGAGCATATGCAGCCTGCCCTATTCTTCCAGCTTCCCTTACATGGAGGAAAATTTAACCTTTGCTGGTGAAGGGGTTGAAAAGAATTCCAAAAACCATGCTCTGCCTCCTTTCCTTACCTTGGGTTTTGTTTTGTTTTTTTTAGATTTTATGGCAAAAGTGAAGATGGAGATGAGTTTAACAATGCCATTCGCAAGCTGTTCCTCTCCTTTAATGTCCTCATGGATAGGCCTCTTGAAGAGGCTGTCAAAATCAAGGTTGGTACAAACCAGTTGTCTGAATTTATCGTGGCAAGGGCAGTTCTGCCCTTGGGGAGAAGGAAGGAGGGAACTGCTTCAGGCAGCAGACTAGGATGCATGGAAAAGAGAGGCCAAGTCTCCAACTATTGTCTTCCTGGCCATTCCATTGCATCCCTTCAGAGTGTTGCATGTAGAACAACTGGCTCTCTGTAGCCTCTTATCAACACAGCCTGTCGTTCTACATACAACACTCTGAAGGGATCTTCAGAGGGACACATGGAGTGTGGCCATGGCACCGGCTTTTAGAAGCAGCTGCTTTCGACCCATCAGAATATGTTAATTCTCAAAGGCCAATAGCCTGAGTTCCTACCCCTGGTCTAGTTCATTCTTAGAGCCTTCTCCACCCATGGGCCTTCCATGGTTGGGCTTACAAGTCTCAGAATTCTCAGCTGGGATGACCATACTGCTAGTTCTGAGGGTTGAGGCCCCAACATATTTGAGGGCACCAGATTCAGAAAGGCAGGTCTCGGGTTTTAGAGCATAGGAACCCTTTTGGTTCATAGAATTCTCATCAGGGTCCATGTGGCAGGAAAGTTCACACATTTAGAGAAGCCTTTGTTCAAGAATGATTAAGCTTATTAGATTGGAGACCTCAATCTTAATTTGCCTTCTTTTTGCCTGTTCCAGGGTGCTGCCTTGAAGTATTTGCCAAACATTATTAACGACGTCAAACTAGTCTTTGATCCAGTGGAACTCAGGTACTATAATTTTTTCCCCCTGCATGGCTGATAAGTAGATATCAAATTAAATTAGGTGCTGCAAAAAGCTCACGTTAATAGTCATGCTGTGTTGGATTTATTTTGTCCTACTGGACAGGAATAGGACAATGTTTTGGAAGGTAATCTCTGAAAATGGGAAGATAAGATTTAATCATGAAATTTGGTTAAGGAATTCCTGTCTTCAAGAGCATCCATGGAGTTTGGGGACAAGGAGAGACAAATAACAAGTGCACTGTGACATCATTGTGCAAATGATGCAACATACAAATTTGCATCAGACATCATGATATCATTAGGTAATTCCACCATTTGTGCGATGACAGCATAATGTGCATTTTGACAACATTGTGGCTCATTACACTTGCCACTGTCTGTTCATTTGATCCCATAGCACTTGGTAGCTATGTGTAAGAGAAGGTCCTAAAGGAGGATCTGCCTTCAGATAATTCTATGGTAAACTCAGGGGATTAAAGACCACAATGAAACCAAAACAAAATCTCTAGGAAGCAATAAGAAGGAGATGGATATCATTGTGAGACCCCTGGGTCCTGCAGCACCGGTAGTCTTCACTTGCTGACTGCCTCGTTTAACGACTGTTTGACATTACAATGGTGTAAAAAAATAGCTTTGCAACCAATCCTCACATTTATGACCGTTGCAGCATCCTGTGGTCATGTGATTGCCATTCGGGCACTTCACAACCAGCGTGCATTTATGACCATTGCAGTGTCCTAGGGTCACGTGATTGCCATTTGTGTGCTTCGCAACTGGCTTGCAACAAGCAGAGTTAATAGAGAAGGCAGAAGTAAAATTCTAAATTGCAGTCACGCAATGTTTTGCTTGATGTAATAGTATATGGGAAAGACCTTGGGAGACTGGGCCAAGAGAAGCTGCCTAGGGAATGGTCAGATAAGAGGCAGCATAGCCCACAGCTGGATAGTGGGAAGGGCAAGAGGCTCAGAAGAGACCCTCCCTAGTTTCTCGGGCTGTAAAGGAAATGAGAGAATTGTACTTTCAGTCTTGCAAGATTCTGTTAATGTAGCTTTACAATAAAGTAGAATTAGCTCATCTGGTTGTGTTTCCTGTCTGTCTGATCTACCTAGTAAGCTGACATCAATCTTGCAAGGCAAGATAAGAACAGAATGCCATCCTTAGTAGAAGTAGCTTTTTGGAATCCTGAACAAGCATATTTCTGGGGTGCATAAACTACATTTCATTGAAGTCCCACTTGAAAGATTCATTAGTCTTTTCCCTTTCTTGGAAAAGAAGAAACTGGCTTGGCCTGAATCAGATTCATCTAGTGTGATGTATAATCTACTCTAAATAACAGCCACACTTACAGATTTTTTTCCTACTTATATTAACCTAAATCCTGAGTTGGGAATTGAACCTGGAACCTCCTAGATGCCAACTTTATGCTCTACCATGGAGCTACCACCTTGTACCAATGCAGAGTGCCTTACAAATATTTATTTGAATGAAGCAGCAAAGGCAGGCATAATTTTTTGCATAAGAAGAGCTTAATACTCTTAACCTTGCATTGCTTATTAGGTTCCTGTGTTTTTAGTGGAAAGATACAGAACCGTGGAAATGAATGAAACCCCATGCCATTTCACTGCAAATCTCAGTCATGGGGATGCCAATAAGGAGCCATTAAAGCTTTTTCCTTCTTTTCCCTCTGAAATCTTCTTAGCCTTGTATATTTTCAAGCCAATGTTCCAAGCCACATGGATGCATACTTTTGGTTTAACATGGAAAACTAATACCATATAGCAATGAATTCTGCAAACCGCAGTACTGAATTCTACTCTTGTTACTATGGACAAGAAGAAGCAAAAGAGCATATTTGTTGTGGTTATTGCTGACTATAATAAAAATTGCATCTACAGTACACTGTGTCCAAAAGCAGACAAGAGCAAACTCAGTAAAAACAGTAAGTTAGCTAAGGACCTTTCTAAAAACTGCTCAGTCTCACCATGATAAAAATGCTTTTAAAAGAGAAAAAGAGAAACAAACATAGTGATCTCTTAAAGGAGCCGGGGCTTGTGGGGGAGGAATGGCGGAATGAAGATATTTCCGTGAAAGCAGAGCCAATGACCGTGGTGAAGAATGAAGAGCCAGCTCTTCAGTGAGTAGAACAGCTCTTCAGAACCTCTCTGGACAAGGAGAGGATAGTGCTCCGCATGTGCTCCAGATGGCTGCTTCTCAGAAGGAGACTGCAGGACAGAAGTCTCCTGTGGGTTTGAGCACTGGGAGACAATGGAATAGCCATCTTGTTCGCAACCACAGTCAGCGCCCTGTAAAGGACACTAGGTTCACTAACCTCACTTGCTAATCACTTTCAGAAATTGCTCATAAACTACTTGTAAACTCTTAGAGTTCTTCAGAATGACAAGTTTGAAAAAGCCAAGTGAGTTTGCCTTCAGTCCTGAACAAAAGAAAATTTTAATGATAAACTTAAGAACTTAAAGAACCTGAAATATCTTAGAAAGTTATAAAAGGGCTAAGGGTTAAGATAAATTTGGAATATTGAAACTTTTACAATAAGATTTAGGAATTAATTATAAAGAACAAACAGCTTGTTGTGGGAAATAGATCCTGTTTTGGGTTTTGCAAGACATAACAAAAATAAGGAATTTCATAATTTTAAAAATTGGACACTAGAGGAAGCTAAAGATTTTAGGTACAGGAAAAAATACATCCCTACAAAATGATGCAAAATGTTATAACAATGGAAATACTGAAGGAGACTTTTGAAGAATGGAGTCAGAAAATAGTAGCCACAATATCAACAATGTTAGTAATGATGTCTGCTTCTTTGGATAGACTGTGTCCAAAAGGTGTTATTGAAGACAGATGTAGAACAAATTTTATCTGACTAGATAGAGATGGTATCAAAAGTGGACTTAGACAGGCCAAGAGAATGACTTAGAAAAGGATGTTTCACTGGATCTACAAAAGAAACTGGCTGATGTTTTAAAATTTAAAAGGGAAATACACACAACAAAGCAAGAGAGTGACCTGAATAATTTTTTCCTATTGGATTTACAAAAGAGGCTTGTTAAAGCCCTGAAGAACTTTATGCAATAGGACAAAGAAGAAATGAAGAGAAATCAAATCCTATGACAATATTTGAATGAACTAAAGATTAAGACTGTTAGAAGTAAAAGGAAGGAATATAAGGTCGGTTTGTTTGATCAGGATTAAAGCAAGATACATTTTTGCTTCTGGCAACCCTGTATGGACTTTCTGCTGACATCAGGACTGAAAAGATGATGTTTTATGGATTTATTTATAGATAAGAGATGGGATATGGGATGAAGAGATAATTGTAACTTTAGAGGGGGTGAAGTCGCTAAATTTGCTTATACTTGTTGTGATGAAGGTTGGAAGTCACTTCTTTATATATTTCTTTTCTTTTTCTTTATTACAATCTTACTTTTCTCTTCCTTCTCTTCTTATTTTTCTTTTTCCTTGCACTTTTCTCTCCTCTCCTCTCCTCTCCTCTCCTCTCCTCTCCTCTCCTCTCCTCTCCTCTCCTCTCCTCTCCTCTC